ACTGTAGCCGCTAGAGGGCGCTCTCTACTGTACCTGTAGTGTATTAAAATGACCGAAAACTTTTTCTTAGTGCAATTTTTTGCTTTTTGAATAAAAAAACTGATTCTTCACACTTTTCAACATAAAAAAGCTCTCTTGTGAATTTTTGTTATAGTTAGCCGTCTTTGAGATATTTCGATCTTTAAGGTTCGATGCATTTTTAATTAATTTTCGGTCATTTTAATACACTACAGGTACAGTAGAGAGCGCCCTCTAGCGGCTACAGTAAAACTATGCCCATGGTACGTTTTGTCGTACCAAAAAACCCTTCTATACCAATTTTCACTGTTATACATCAAATATTGTTCGAAATATTTAAAAAAAACTATTTTAGAAAGTAAATTTAAACACCCTATATTTCGGAAGCCACGCATTTTTTGACCCATATTTATATAGACTTTATGCATTAATTTTAAAAGTTCTATCGAATCTTGAAGTTATGCAACAATAAACTGAAACACCCTGTATATAGGTACTTCCATGAAAAAATAGACATAGGTGATAATGATAGCTGGAGTATGGACCAAACACATCGTAATTGAAAAATATTAAATTTCATTTTTTTAGACACGATTCTTTTATAGTATAAAAATTAAAAACAAACAAAAATTAATTTTCTGACTTATGCGTGGAAGACAAGAAAACAATAGAACATAGAAAATAGAGTTAATACCAACCAGATCAACAAAACTCCGCTTGTTCACTTCTCAGCCAAATTTTGTTGCGGACTCCGGACTGGCACAGAATTTAGTCACTAGAATAGACCATAAAAGACTAGACTATACCTGTTCTAACAGGGAGAAGCCCAACCGTTGCTGTTTATGGGAGAGTAGTCGCTAGTCGCATGCGCACTGAGCGGGTTGCCAGTGTTGCCGCTATCCTTTCTTAAAGTTACAGATTTTGGATAAGACGCTTACTTTATACCATCTTTTCAAAGACTGCTCGAGTCCCCCACCCCTCCCCCCGGAGGAGCGCCACTGGCTAGCTAGATTCCTTTCCTAACGCCACTCGTACATCAACCCATAATCAGGTTTTTCTCGTGTATAGAACAACATGAGTGTTTGTGGATGTGAACAGAAAAAAAACAAAAAGCGACTATTTATTTCTTCTAGAATCGTTTTTTTGCAAATACAAGTTATATTGAAAATAAACGAACCGATTCTTAAGTAATCGATATTTACCTCAAAATGCCACGTCCCTACGCTCAGTATCTAAAAGTACGCCTATGTTCCAGTAGGAGTGCATGCAGAGTGCATAGTGCCCCGGGATGATTTTTCGCGCCACTCCCTTTGTTCGCGGTGAAAAATAATGAAAAATAAAAAAGTCACGTGTCGGCGTGCTTGCAAAGTAGACAAGACGTGTGTATTAAAATTTATACGGTAACGCAAACAGAAGTTAATGCATTCTTTTTATCTCTTTGCTAACATTTGGAGTACATGCCAATTCACCCGGTGTCTATTAGCCTCTCATGCACAGCGCGCATTTTTTTAAAAAAGATGCATAGTCGGACTGGTAGTAATGACATGTTTTCCGCTTAATCACAAAAAAAATGCCCAATGATAAGGAAAATAAGGTACATCAATTTTCTGTAGATTATAATCTCGCTGTTAATCGAGATAAAACTCAAGTAATACTGTTTTGCTCTAGTATCATAAGAGAAGAAACGTTGAAACCTCTTTCCAGATAACCATTCATGGCACAGTGTTACAACATACTCTAACAGCTAGCATACTTTGTGTTGAAATTGACAGAAAGTTAAGATTCCACAACGACGGCGCTAGTTTAATTAACAAAAACATACACTTGCTCTAGAGCCCTTCATTCTATTCGATTCTGTGCTGTTTTTTCTTTGTAATATTATTATATCCTCCTTTATGTCTTGAACATCCAATGCAACCGACATAAGCAGGTAAGTGTAAGAGTAGCCCTAAGCTTTGCTGCTTATGTACCTCTTGGTTGTTTGTATTTCAATAAAGGCGTTATTTAAGTATTATTATTATAATATATCGAACTAACTCGAGATTATGTGCTAATAAGTTTCCTAACTGAACACATCACGGAATCGACAATCAAATCACGCTGAGCCGACACGCATGTCCGTTAGCCTACATAAAACAGGTAAAACTATCAAAATATACATATTTTTCGCCATAGCAACGCTACTCAGTTATTATCCAAAGCAACTTGATTATTATATTATATAAATGATTTATCATCATGGTACAAATAATGCATTAAAAACAAATATCTCGAAAACTATTAGGTTAAGAAACCTCTAACAAATAAACCTTTTTTGTTGTGGAAATATCAAAAAATAAGATTTTTTGGTCAGTTGTTGTATACAGAGTAGCACAAAAAAGTTATGATAAGTTATTTACCGAAATAGTGCTGTAAGTGGCGCCCTCTAGAGAAGTTCGACCATAAAAAAATAACGAAATTGTAACTTTGACACCCCTGTATCTAGCAAACTATCAACTTTTGGACTACGGTGTGTTTAGGTCAATTCACATATTTTGGTCTGCAGCACCTCTAGTCTCGAGATTTCCCAACATTTCGCAGACACTCTGTACATGGTGGCCCATCCAAGTATGGACGGTATATTATTCATAAACAAATAGGTTTTGGGAAACTCTATTTATGCGATGTTATACATGACATTTGCGGACACATTTCTAAAATATTGGTCATTGTACAGGGTGCTTCAATTTCGACCTACGTATCAAAGTTTTGATTTTTCAAATGGAACACCTCAAATTTTATAGCATATTTGGATAAACCAATTCAAAAGAAGAAAATTTATTTAACATGCAATGGTGGTTTGGTAATTAGCTACTGAGATATAAGGTGTTTTGTCTAGAAAAACCCTCCACTTCGGTGACCCCTCAGTCCACTATTTTGAAATTTCGAGTGCTGAATTTTGTATAAAAAAATAAAATAAATATATAATACTGCAAATTTCAAAATAGCGGATTGAGGAGTTGCCAAAGTGGACTGTTTTTCTGGACAAAACACCTTACATCTCGGTAGCTAATTACCAGAACCCCATAGTATGTTATATCAATCTTCTTCTTTTGAATTGACTTATCCAAATATACAATAAAATTTGAGGCATTCCATTTAAAAAAACACAACTTTGATATGTAGCTCAAAATTGGGACATCCTGTATAATTGAGGAGCAGACTTTCAAAAAGCATTAAGTGCAGTTTTTACGAAATTGTCCAAAAGATGACGATCAAATGTATAGGTTCATCTCCATTTGTCAACCGCTCCTTGGACATCCAAAACGATGTTAAACGATAAATATAACGCCCGTTAACACGTCTAGACTTTCAAAGAGCGTTATTTGTTTCTGCGTTGGACAAATAAATAGACTTTGATAAGCTAGTTAGTGCATGAACGCTTTTTGTTTGTCCAGTATATTTTGGATGAGCAGCAAGTAAACCCTTTTGTTTGGACACGTGTCTCAAGATTATAATCCTGTCGTAACTTGCTTCAGTTAGCATAGTGATATCGAGTGGGTTAGATCGGTCGGACCACTATTATGGATGAAGAGCATATTGTTGGTGATCAAGACAGAGGCAGTAGAAAACGAAAATGGGGTGCAACATCACGGCAGCGGCAGAAAGAAATACGGTAGATATAGTAAATTATGTTATTTGGGGAATTTTCTCATAGTTTGCGGTTTTATTTCTAGATACGATGACCCTGATCCCAACCTTGATGGTTTCGACGTCTCCTGTAAGCATGGCAGAAATAAAAAACTTTCATGTAAGGATATTCCTTTCGAAGATCTAAGGCGCTGCCGACAAAAGTTTTATTCACAAAAAGACGAGGTTAAGCAAGATACAAAACTGTCTCATTTAATTGAAATTGGAACTCCTAGGAGAAAGAAACGTTCAGACCAAAGCTTTAATTGAAACCGCAACATTACTGTGCATTACAATGTGTGGAGCTCCAACAGCAAGAAAAGAATTTGTCAGAAAATGTTTTTAAAAATTTTTGGTATTAAAATATAAAATATTTCTAGGCAAATGAAAGCTGGATCGGGTATTTCTGAAAATCGTGGTGGTGACAGACGTTCGCAGAAAAATGTGGAAAAGCGCAAAAAAGTGAAAGCATTCATCGCAAATTTAAACGGCCAACGCGAAAAGCAAACTGTTATTACAAATTTAAGAGTACATAAGTTACGAGCAAAGCAGTTTTTTAAAATGATGAAGGAAAAATCTGAAGACGGCATGGCATTTTGCTTCGATCTTCAGCAGGTAAAACCTCTCCCTAAAGTACCGATTTCAGAGGCATTCTATGCACAGCAACTCTCCTTGTATGTTTTCTGTATCACAGACATACCTTGCAAGCGACCAATTTTCTACTCATGGTTAGAACACCAAGCAGTAAGGGGTGCCACAGAAGTTGGTTCTGCTCTTTACGATTTTCTCAGAAAGGCTGAATTTCCAAAAAACTTGAAAGAATTGACGTTGTTCTCTGATGGATGTGAAGGCCAAAACAAGAACAGTCACATAGTTCACATGCTAATGATGTGGCTACATAAAGAAGCACCAAAAGGCCTGCAATCTATAAGAACGGTTTTTCCAATAAGAGGTCATTCATACCTGCCAGCGGATCGCATTTTTGGACGATGTGAGAAGCTTATTAGGTCCCATAGCACACTAAAGTCACCAGAAAAATACTGGGAGTTGTATTCTCAAGTCGGATTGGTTCGAAAGCTTGGGACTGACTGGAAAATATATGACCTGATATCGGCTTTGTCCACTTTTAAGAAAATCGAATCAATCAGTCATGCTAAGCGAATCTTGATAAAACGGACTTCAAAACAACATGTAGCGGTGAAAACAGAAACCTTTTACAGAAATGACGATGCCAACGCCAAGTACTTGACGTTGTTAAAAAAAACAATAAGATTGAAAACTTGAGTTTTCCAAGGTTGCCTTTGAATCATGAAATGAAAAGGACAAAGTTGAAAAGTCTGCATAACCTTTTGGTGCAGCTATCCACAGAAAGATGGCGTGAGGATGAGGAATTGCAATGGCTTCGTCCTATTTTTCCAGAGCCCCTTGAAGAGCTACAAGAGAATAGTGATGAAGACAATGATGAAGATAATGCCCAAGAAGTATGTAACTGCATCAAGGATGATGGTGAAGTGAAAGTTTGAATATTTTTCTCTAAGCCTATTTTTTATAAGATTGTATTCATCGGTAAATGGAATAAAGGTATTTTGACTTAAGTTACCGTTTCCCAAACAAAAGGACTTATTTCACCTTCGGACAAACAAAGTGCATCAAATAGAATCTACTTTTGGTCAAAAAATGGAATTTCTTTGTTTTCCAGGTAATCCTCCTTCATCATCAAAGCCTATCTATTTTCGTGGTATTTGATTCACCAAAATCAAGCATTTGCAGCTACGCATGTTGTCACAGCAGTTTTTTCCACTTTCCTCAATTTATGCGGGTCATAGCATAGCATAGCATTTTGGAAAGTCTGCTCCTCAATTGCCAATATTTTAGAAATGTGCCCTCAAATATCCTGTATAACGTGCCATAAATGGATGGGCCACCCTGCATATTTTTATAAGGAAAGATCTACCTGAAACTGCAACAAAGTATGAGATATCTCATTGAAAAAAATAATCAATTTTAGCATTATTTCTACAGGCTATATTTTGCTGCATATTCTGATGGACTTATCCAAAAAAAGACTGATAATAATTTAAATATAAAACTTTTTCAGAATCAGTACTTGAGTTATAAGCGAGACAATATGAAGAAACTGTCAACTTTGGCAGCGCTCCAATCTCAAGGAGAAGGAAATTATATATTCTAGAACTATAAGATACCCATTAGAGGCTGCAAAATAATCCCCAAGTGTAGGTCCATTTCATTCAAAAAAAATTAATCCGCGGTCTTGAGACCTTTTACTGTCACTTTTAGGCGAAAATGTCTTGGATCAATTTCAGGGAATTCCAGCTTTCTATCTTGGCCCGTTAAAACATAAATGGAGGAAACATTTATAACTCTACACGAGCTGTAACTGGAGAAATACAAGTTGCAGTAGTTTAGGCCAAATAGTCGTTGCGCCAGTGCAAATTTTGCATTTAACAGCAACGATTGTCGTCATATTGCTTTTTTACCTAATAGAGTAAGGCCATTACTGAATTTTTCAGTTACAAAACTTGAGGCATTCAGCAGCGTTGATATGTACTTAACGTCTGAGTATATACTACGCTGGATAATCGTCAGATAAAGTAAGACTAACTTTACTTAAATTCTCGTGGCTGATATATATATATATATATATATATATATACAGGGTGTCCCAGAAGTCGACGTCAAGCCGAAACCGGGTGATAGTCAAAGTCATAACAGCTATCAGAAAAATATTTCAAAAAATTTTATGTATGTGTTTTGAAAATTATAGGTTTTTGAAAAAAATATAGAAATTTCACACCCTACGGCAGTCTGTCAACTCCTGTTACTACAAATATTAACTTTTTTTGGATTTTATTTTTACAATGTAATGATGAATAATGCATCTTCAAACTGGTGTCTCAACCTTACTGCCAACTTTCCTCGTTCAGGAAAAATTGCCACTTATTTCCCAACCAAGTATTCCAAAGTAAAAATTTGCTCAACTTTAACTGGCTGTACTGGAAAAAAATGTACTACGAGAGTTTGGCAAGTATCCTTAAAAGTTGGCGCATTTAATGAGGATTCCAAAATGGTATAACACTTAGAAGATTACTCGTTAACTTATGCACAATTTTTATTTGAAGAAAAACTGATGAAAATTTTTCAAAATTTCCTAATTAAACAGCGATTATGAAAACGCACAAGGACCCTTAAGGATAACTGTTTGCACAACAGTGGGCATCAAAATGCTGCTGATGATGATTTACCTTTACAGCAAATGCTCAAACTGTTTTCCTACAGCCTCAATATACGCTCGACATCTTAAAAAAGATCGGGTTATTAAACGAGCGAATCCACGGTTATTAACAAACTCAACTGCTTCCAATAGTCTTTGCCGTAGCTCAGCTACATTTTGAATCGGCTTGAAATACACTTTTTCTTATACAGTTCCCCAGTAAAAAAAATCTAACGGATTCAAATCTGGTGACCGGGCTGGCCACGGTATTGTACCAGACCGCCCTATCCATCTGCCTGGAAAGTTTTGATCGAGATACTCTCTCACTGAGAGTGCATAGTGCGCTGGGCAGCCATCATGCTGAAACCACATGTCCCTGTAAATACTCAGTGGCACGTCCTCCAATAAATTTTCTAAATGATTTTCCAAAAACCTAAATAAACCTCAGCAGTCAAAGTCTCTGGGAACTCAAACGGGCCGATTATTTTACCATTTAAAATTCCTGTCCAATGGTTTATATTGAAGCGATATTGAGATTTATCTTCTCTCATCAAATGTCGGTTTGCTACGTGCCACTCGTGTAAGTTATGCAGGTTGATGTATCCATCTTTCTTAACTGTGGTCTCATCTGACCATAACATTTTTTCAAAGAACCGTGGATCTTCCCTGTGTCTTTCTAACATTGTGCGACAAAAAGCAACTCGGGGCTCATAATCCCGGGGCAGAAGAGTTTGAACACGCTGTACGTGGTATGGATGGAGCACGTTTTTTTTGCAAGATTCTATGGGCTGTACTTTTGGGCACACCTGTTTTTAGTTCTATTGCACGCACTGAAGTACTAGGGTCTTCTTCGACAGCTCCTAGCACCACGTCTTCGTAAGGAAGGAAAGATCTTCCCTCACCATGTGCTTGGGGTATTTGGCCCTCTGAGAACAGTAAGCGGTGCACATTTGTGAACACTCGATGATCTGGATGACGAGCTGCATTCGGGTACCTCTCACAGTAAAGTCTCGCTGCAGCACTAGCGTTGCATCTGCATTCCCCATAAATGAGGTGCATGTTAGCATATTCTTGTACGGTGTACACGGACATAGCGGCACTGCACAATCACACTATCAAAGATAGTCTAAGGAAAGCAAATGTTGTTTTGAAGAGCAATTAAACAGTCCAAATAGAAATCAAAAGCGGTCAACAGTCCAGTTCACGAATCCAAAATTAGTAACAGTACGAAATCAACAAGCACGAACATGTAAAGATGCGCAGTAAACGAAGGAGTGCTGATCGGTATCAAAGTGTGCAATAGCAAGTAAGTGATGTGCTTCATCCATACCACATACAGCGTGTTCAACCTCTCCTGCCCCGGGATTATGAGCCCCGAGTTGCTTTTTGTCGCACAATGTTAGAAAGACACAGGGAAGATCCACGGTTCTTTGAAAAAAATTTATGGTCAGATGAGACCACAGTTAAGAAAGATGGGTACATCAACCTGCATAACTTAAACAAGTGGCACATAGCACACCCACATTTGATGAGAGAAGATAAATCTCAATATCGCCTCAAGATAAACCATTGGACAGGAATTTTAAATGATAAAATAATCGGTCCGTTTGAGTTCCCAGAGACTTTGACTGCTGAAGTTTATTTGGATTTTTTGAAAAATCATGTACAAAATTTATTGGTGGACGTGCCAATGAGTATTTACAGGTACATGAGGTTTCAGCATGTTGGCTGCCCAGCGCACTATGCACTCTCAGTGAGAGAGTATCTCGATCAAAACTTTCCAGGCAGATGGATAAGGCGGTCTGGTACAATACCGTGGCCAGCCCGATCACCTGATTTGAATCCTTTAGATTTTTTTACTGGGGAACTGTAAAAGAAAAAGTGTATTTCAAGCCGATTCAAAATGTAGCTGAGCTACGGCAAAGACTATTGGAAGCAGCTGAGATTGTTAATAACCGTGGATTCGCTCGTTTAATAACCCGAACTTTTTTAAGAAGATGTCGAGCGTGTATTGCGGCTGAAGGAAAACAGTTTGAGCATTTGCTGTAAAGGTAAATCATCATCAGCAGCATTTTGACGCCCACTGTTGTGCAAACATTTATCCTTAAGGATCCTTGTGCGTTTTCATAATCGCTGTTTAATTAGGAAATTTTGAAAAATTTTCATCAGTTTTTTTCAAATAAAAATTGTGCATAAGTTAACGAGTAATCTTCTAAGTGTTATACCATTTTGGAATCGTTATTAAATGCGCCAACTTTTAAGGTTACTTGCCAAACTCTCGTAGTACATTGTCTTCCAGTACAGCCAGTTAAAGTTGAGCAAAGTTTTACTTTGGAATACTTGGTTGGGAAATAAGTGGCAATTTTTCCTGAACGAGAAAAGTTGGCAGTAAGGTTGAGACACCAGTTTGAAGATGCATTATTAATCATTACATTGTAAGAATAAAATCCAAAAAAAGTTAATATTTGTAGTAACAGGAGTTGACAGACTGCCGTAGGGTGTGAAATTTCTATATCTTTTTCAAAGACCTATAATTTTCAAAACACAATTTTTTTAAATATTTTTCTGATAGCTGTTATGACTTTGCCTATCACCCGGTTTCGGCTTGACGTCGACTGGGACATCCTGTATATATATATATATATATATATATATGTAAAACATTATTACAAAGTAATAATAAGCACTGCCAGACACCTCCAATGATCCTTAAGATCAGTCAAACACCTTGAAGTACCCAAAGAATAACTGAACTTTACTTATTCTGTCAGCTTGATTTTTATATAACGTTACTTGGGGGACTATTTGAAAACTGAATTTGTGTAGCCACAAAAATCTTGTGGGTATCCCCCAAAAAAAACATTCAGGCGTCAGTATGAGCATGAGGGTACTATTCTTTCGTCATGGAGCGAGTGCGCTCTCTCTATGAATAGATTCGCCCCTCTTAAGGCCACTCTCAGGTCTAAATGATATGCGTGGGATCGCAAATGTCAACTTAATCAGATACAGGGTTATTGTAATTTCAACATTGTATCCAAAACACGCAAACATTCGTGTGACTGAAACTACATCAATGGCGTAAAAAATGGAAAATCGTTATTTTCTGAAAAAAAAAATAATTCTCTACGCCTTTGACTTTTTTGAAACATCTAGTGCATTTTTCAATAAAGTATACTTATTTACATAATTTACCTCTCTTGTGAAACTTGCTCAGTAACGAATATATTACTTATAATAATGTTTTACAAAAAATAGTCTAGCTTGTGATAGAATAAAAAAATCTCCACTGAT